GATGACGATGTCAGTGATCCAGTCAATAGCGGTGTAGTAGCCAATGATAATGACAAAGATGCTCATCAGCGTTTGTGTAGTAGGTCAACCATGAAGGTGAAATAACAAGTCGGCAATGACGAAAGCAACCGGAGGCAAAGACGTAGTCACCCATTAGCAATGGCGGAGACATCAAGGCCAATGAAGCAGAGGTACTGGTGATGATGTCAGTGACAATAATCCATCAAACTGTTGAGAATATATCAAAGCTCGAGTAGTTTCCTTGATGCAAGCATGTGCATAACAAAGACTGATGCAATGCCCTTTGATTTATAAAGATGGCAGTAGAACTTGGTCTTGTAGCTGTTGTAGATTCTTCAGTTGGAGGAAAATAGATGGTGTTGTCCAACTCGTTGAATCTGAGTTAATTGGTTGATAACTACAAACTCCCGAACATGTAGATTAAATCGTGAACTTAATTCTTGAGAATCTTGGAGTAGATTGTGGCAACATCCATATGCCAAAATTGTCGGTGAAATAATTCGAGTTGCTAAAGTAGAATGTCTGGTCCGAAGCAAAGACGAAGATAATGACTCATTTACTGGTTAATTGATTGCTTCAGCTCATCAAATTTTGAGTCTTGTATTTGTGTAGCCCCCAACTCTTTGGTTAGTTGGGAAACAACTGAACATAGAGTCAAGAACTGTAGCTTATTGTCGTCGAGTAATCATTGCTTAAGTAAAGATACATGTTGAAGATGTCTGGGTAAAAATCTTGAGTATTGGAACACCACTTGCTGTAGTAAAATAGCACGACGTCAAATCTAGAAGTGCATGCCGAGATGTCGAGGCTCTTGGAGACGTCGTGGTTGGTGAAGTAGCAAAGCTTGCGAAGTTGAGGCTATAGAGTTTGCCGGTGCCGAAGACAATGAAGTCGCTCCACCATGGTGACAAAGTTGCATAGCCGTGATGAAGTGAACACGTATCGGTGGCAGCAGAGGCAAACCAGTAGCGAAGACCGTAGTCATGAAGATAGAAACACCAGTCGGCGGCGGAAGAAGTAGAATGATGACGAAAACAAAAACGTCCTTTAACAGTGGTAAAATAGACCAACCATGAAAGCGAAGACACCATGGACGGCGGCGAAGGCAAACCGATGATGACGATGACGCCAGTCAATGATGACGAAGGCGCGCAGCCGTGGAGGTGAACAAGCCAGTCGGCATCAGACAAGGCGGCCAGCAATGAAAACGATGACGTCCATCAATAGAGGTAGCAGTATAAACCAACCGTAGAGGCGAGGGCACAGTCGGCAGCAGACGTAGACAGCTTGCGTTGAAGGTGATGACGCCTATTTGCGGTGGCTGCGACGTGGCCAGCTGTGAAGACGATAGCACCAGTTGGCGTCATACAAGGTGGCCGGTCGAAGAAGATGTAGACGTCCTACAACAGCGGCATAATAAACCAGCTGTGCAGGCGGAGACACCAGTCGGCGGCGACGAAGGCGAGCCGGCAGTGAAGACGTAGACGCCCAATAACGGCGGCATAATAGGCCAGCCATGCAGGCGGAGACACCAGTCAGCGGCGACGAAGGCGAGCCGGCGGTGAAGACGTAGACGCCCAACAACAGCGGCATAATAGGCCAGCCATGCAGGCGGAGACACCAGTCGGCGGCGGCAAAGGCAAACTGGTCGGTGAAGACATAGTCGCCCAACAAACGGCGGCATAATAGGCCAGCCATGCAGGCGGAGACACAATTCGGCGGCGGCGAAGACGAGCCGGTCGGTGAAGACGTAGACGCCCAACAATGACGGCATAATATGCCAGCCGTGCAGGCGAGACACCAGTCAGCGGCGGCGAAGGCGAGCCGGTCGGTGAAGACGTAGACGCCCAACAATGGCGGCATAATATGCCAACCATTTAGGCGAGACACCAGTCGGCGGCAGCGAAGGCAAGCCGGCGGCGAAGACGTAGACGCCCAACAACTGTGGTGTGACCAACCAACCGTATAGGCGAAAACACCAGTCGACGGCGGACGAGGCGGCCAGTCGGTGAAGAAAACGATGCCCAACAACGGCGGTGTGACCACCCAACCATATAGGCGAGGACGCCAGTCGGCGGCGACGACGGCAAGCCGGTGGTAATGTTCTGACTGATCCATTCCTGTAACATAGGAGATAAGCTTAAAGCCATGAATCCCTTTGATGCATATCTGGATCTGGATCCTGCAGAACAAACATATAGGATGAGTAGTATCTGATGTAAATACAGTACTTGAGAAATATTCAAGTATTAAAAGTGTTTATAAATATGTATTTCTCCTCTCGTCAATTTTGATTTCCCCGAGCAGATGACTCATTACGTTTAAACACTCTGCCCGACTAGTCATAGCCACCAAGTACCGGGACTCGGCCTAGGCACTTCCCAAACATGCATATGAGTGACATGAGTTCTTCATTAATGGAACAAAGTTTCACGGATCAGAATTTACTACTCGGGTACTTTTGCAATTATTAAGAGCAAAAAATAAATTATCTTATCTCTATGCTTTTGACTTTTTCCATGTAATACTTAGCACCTTGCGGTACTCGGTCTATCCAACGAGCCCCCGGGTGCTAGGAATCGGCCCAAAGGCAACTATCCATTGACAAACCAAAAGGAAAGCGTAGGAAGATAGAACTCTATAACTCGATAGGCACTTTTGTACTCAGATTATATCGCAAGCAATCAAGATAAATATTATGAAAATTGTTGAAAATATGATATAACATCTGTAGCCCCCGACTCACTCATCAACGACGAACCAGTTGATGTAGTGAGGCAGAGGAAAAGGAAAATATCATATAAAGAAAATTAATGATCACTTAGCTTTTTCATATTCCCTCGATGACAACAGAAGTAGCCGATGTGGGAACGAAGTAGTCCATCAACGGTGATGAAAACACCAACCGTGTAAGCAGCGGCGGTGAAAATGTGAACGCCATAAACGGTGGTGTGACTAACCAACCGTATAGATGAGGACACTAGTCGGCAGCGACAGAGGCAGGACGACGGTGAAGTCGTGGACGCCCAACAACGGCGGCATAATAGGCCAGCCGTGCAGGCGGAAACACCAGTCGGCGGCGGCGAAGGCCAGTCGGTCGGTGAAGACGTAGACGCCCATGTACGGTGGTGTGACCAATCAACCGTATAGACGAGGACACCAGTCGGCGGACGCCCAACAACGGCAGCATATAATAGGCCAGCCGTGCAGGCGGAAACACCAGTCGGTGGCGGCGAAGGCCAGCCGGTCGGTGAAGACGTAGACGCCCATGAATAGTGGTGTGACCAACCAACCGTATAGGCGATGACACCAGTCAGCGACGATGGAGGCAGGCCGGCGGTGAAGTCGCGGACGCCCAACAACGGCGGCATAATAGGCCAGCCGTGCAGGCGGAAACACCAGTCGGCGGTGGCGAATGCCAGTCGGTCGGTAAAGATGTGGACGCCCATGAACGGTGGTGTGACTAACCAACCGTATAGGCGAGGACACCAGTCGGCGGCGATGGAGGCAGGCCGGCGGCGATGTGGTATGGATGATGATACATGCAAAAGCAAGAGATTGCACTTCAACCTGTGGTTAATATTTGCAAAAAGAAAATAACTGATATAATAATCAATAGATCCAAACACATGGTTTGATTTGTGCTTGACGAAGAGGCTTGCATGACCATAAACATTAAAGCATGTGCTCGGTTGCAATTAGCTAGGCGGCGCAAGCCAAACATGAGGACGAATAGACCAGTCGATGGCGATAGCGTCGTCCGACGATGGCCTATAGAGACCACGGCCAATTCGGCGGTAGCTCCAACAGTACATGCAAAGAGACAAAAACAATCTCTAATTAGCATCAAGAAGATTAATCTTGTGGATGTGCATTTGCATATATCAATGCATATATGAAGCATGCATATATTATTTGGTTGGCCGATTGATCTCCTGTAGCATGAACATTAGACCGATCCGTGCCTCTTGCCATGCGTGCATATAGAGACCGTAGGTCCGAGTTCGGATCAAATCAGAGAAAATCAAATCAGACTCGGGTAACCAGGGTACATGCAAAATAGTAAACCATAGGAGAAACTCATCAAGCCCCGCAGATGCTGGCGTAGATCAACAGAGCGCCTCGCCTTGCAGTCTTGCACGGTGATGAATTGTCAGATGTGGCGTCTCGAGCCATCGGCAAAAAACGAAAGCACCATTAATCTGTGATTAGAAATCTAATACTCAAGATTAGTATCTGAAATTAATTCTATAGATGCATGGTGCGTGCTTGTGCATATTGATCGGTCAGATCAACTCAAACACGCCATCTCTCCGGCAGGCGGAGGGCGACTGTTCCCATGTGTGACCAATGGTGGCCAGAGGCCATAGCACGCCCGTGGCCCTGCTCCGTTGTTTGGATCGCGTGAAGAAAATCTCGACGCCGGCGACAGTTTCGTCTTGATCTCCGACCAACACACAAACACCGAAAGATACCAGGAGGTTAATCTAGAATTAGAAATCAATTGAATAGCAATAACAGATTGAGGCAACAAACCCGAACGGTATTGAAAATTTGTTCCATCGCACTTGTCGATGGGAAACTCGACGCCACCCCTACCTAGCACGCCAACTGTCGAAACATAAATTCCGCAATAATAAAAGGGGGTAACGGACGAGACCTAAAAGTGGATGGATGCGGAGACAAAGGATTTAGACAGGTTCAGGCCCTCTCGATGAGAGGTAATACCCTACTCCTATTTAGGGATTTGAATCCGCCGGGTGTATTATAGATCTGACGATCTAGTTGTCTCATGCCCCTTAAAGGGCCTCCGGCTCACCTTATACAGGATGGGGGCAGGATTACAGGATAGAAACCTTAACCAATACAGTATCGGATTCCTAAATCTACTTTATAATATTATCAAACCAGGACTCCATGCCGTTCCATAATATACAAGGAAACGTAATACCTAAGTCATGATCTGTTACATATTTCATAGATATAAGTTATCCCCTATAACTAGTCGGATAACCATGCTGTGTGGATATGGGCTACCCATAATCTCCACACTAATCACTGTCATAGCAATGGCAGTTTTTAACTAGCAGTGCTAGGTTTTGCATCGAGTCATGGAGATAACACAACTAGTGCCTCATATCGTGAAGGTCTGAACAGGTGGTATACAAAATCTATTATACAACGATTTCAAGGGAACTTCCTGTTACGAACCTCCATCATGGTCTCAGTTAACACAATGCTTTGGCAAATCCACACTGGATAAATGTGCTACAGATACAATACAGAGAAATGGAATTAGCGATTGCGAAGATGAAAGAGGATCAGGCAGAAGAGGCAGGGTTTGAGGCAAGGGCAGCAGGAGGAAGAAGAGAGCCAAGGCAGCCTTATCTATTCTATGCCTTCTCCAGTTCACCAAACCAATTGCTGTCCCGATGCAGCCGATCGGCTAGGACGCCACAGCCCAACCAGAACTTCAGGCCCAGCCCAGTACATATATAACATCCCCACACCCCACCTGCCCCGTTGTGCAGAGAAGCAACAAATTTGCTTACCGTCCCTCATCTTTACGTCGAGTTCAATTGACGTCCCTAAACTGTAAAACCAAAAATCTGCATCTCTCATCTTGGTAAAACCATCCAAGTTAGGTCTTAGTAGTACGAACCCTTAGTTCCACTGATGTGGCATCCTAGTCAGCAAAAAGAAAATAAAAAAATACGTGAGAGCCACATCTAAGTGAGCAAAAAATGTGGGGTCCACATGTCAGCACCCACTTCTTTCTCTTCTGATTTTGCTACCATGCACGCCATGCCTTGCGCCACCCATTGCAGCACCATCTAAGCTCAAGCTCCCCAAGATTCCGTGCAAGGGAGGTGCCCAATGAGCCCCTCCGAGCTCGAGCTCGCCGGCATTCGTGCAAGGAAGCAGGAGACAGGAGAGGGATAGGGAGGCAGTCGGAGAGCCCCTTTGAGCTCGAGCTTGCCCGACACCAATGCGAGGAAAGTAGAGGCAAGAGAGTGAGGGAGTGGTCGATGATGAGCCCCTCCGAGCTCGAGCTCGCCCGACCTTCATGCGGGGGAGGCAGAGACAATCGGAGAGGATGGGGCCACGACTGTATGTGAGCGGCGCCGGATCCCTCATCTGAGGTGGAAGCTGGAGAAGCAGGTGGTGATGCGCCGGCTCCACGGGAGCTTCTCATGCAACGACTCATGATCGCTAGCTTCAGTGATGGTCGCCTTCCACCAGCACGAGCTCCCCATCCACGCATAGATGCAGTAACTACCTTACCACCAGCAAGGTGGGCCTAGGACATGGTAGCGTGAACGCGGTGGCCTACCCACCGCCAGTGAATTGGTTAGACTCTTGTCACGGCCAGTGGAGCAACAAGGCAAGGAGATGCCACCGCCCATCCCCTTGCCGACGTTGGCCACCACCCCTCCCCCAGCGATGCCGGCCCTCTGCTGCCCTGGACAAAATGGAGAAAGAAGGGAGAGGTGGAGAGAGATTGGAATAATAAAGAGAGAGCATGGGAGGTAGAAGAAAGCCCCTGATATGTGGGCCTTATTTTTTTTCCTAACTAGGGTGCCACAGCAGCTGAAATAGGCATCCATACCACTGATGGACCTGACTTAAACAGGTTTGCTATGAATGGTGCGGGGATAAAGATTTCTAGTATTGTGGTATATAAGGATGTTAATTATACTCGACGTAAAGATAAGGGATGCTTAGTGAACTTATTCCTGTAGATAATGGCAACCCTAACAGGCAGATGACAACATTGTAATGTTGGTAGGACTGTTGCATCACAAGCACACCATCCATTTCGGACATAACAATCCCAGGATCACAAGCTATGGCAAGTGTAGGGTATTGAAGCAACTCGCACCTCCACCTCTCCAAAAGGATAATGAAGCAATTGAATCTCAAGTGTTGGGTCTCCGGGATTTCACAGTTCGTTTCTAGGGAGTGTTGGCCTATCTTGCTAGAATTTGGCAAGCTAGAAAATCCTATAATCCCATCGATTATAGTAACCAAATTGAAAATATCAGTATCACAAGATCTTATTCTTGTCACCTCAAGAATCTTGACATAGACAAACATCATTGCCAATTGCACAGTCCCAACTTCTAAGAAATGCATCAGGGCAAAAGCCAATATATAGTAGCCCTATCCTCCCAATTGCTACACCATGGATCCACTTGCTTAGTATCACAGGAGTCTATGTAACATTGTATAGTACATCTTTAGAAACACTGCAGAATACAATGCTGATTTGATGATAGTATAGAATCGTCTTATCAACGCCATCAATTTGTTGCTTTATCATTCCTTGAAAATGAAATCCTTTGTCAGCTGGAGCATGCACTATACTAGCTCATAGCTTGTTGAATCAGAGTATTTTGATTCTTATATTGAGCTGGCCTCTAGCTGGTAACTATCTGTCCCAATTACTCACACTTTAGTTCCTCTCGCTGTACCACTCGTTCATCTAGCAATTGCAGCCTTGGGGACTGAACTTAAATGTTACCATAATCTGAATGACCAGTTCTCTATAGATGGCAAGGTACTTTATGACTTTATGTTGAGAATATTTCAGGAACTTTGTATCACTGATTTTATGCTTTTTGTAATTTTACATAGACTATATACATTATCATCTCAATGATAACATTTGCTCAGGTGCCATGGTTTTATTGTTTAACTTTTGGCTTACGTTTTTCAGGGTGTGTTACGTGATGGTCTCGAGGTTGCCATCAGGAAACAAGCAAACGCACGTCCTAATCGATATGACGAGATGCCTGAAATGCGTCGTTTGATTCATCTCTGCTCAATGCTTGAACACAAAAATATAGTTAAGCTACTGGGATATTGCCATGAAAACAGGGGATTTGATACGTCCAATGAATTTCTGTTGCTGGTAGAAGAATATATGGTCAATGGAAACTTAAGCAACTTTATCTATGGCACGTAGTTTCACCTATAAATGCTGATTATACGTCAATTCTCAACAAACTCTCTTCATAACATTCTTGCCTCTAATGGTTTTTAATTTTCTGTTCAAATTGTATCGTTATTGCAGGGGAGCAGCTTGATTGGTCCTCCCGATTCCGAATAATTCAAGGGATAACTCAGGGAATTATTTACCTTCACACACACTCTGGGAAACCTACTATAGTCCATCTGGACCTGAAACCAGACAACATCCTCCTGGATTTAGACATGAACCCTAAAATTGGTGATTTTGGACTAGCTAAAGTATTAAAAGATGATGTGGTCAATGCAAGCGTTCGTGGAACATTGTAAGATACAGGGCATTCCAATAATTCCATGTGAATTTATTTTCTTTCTGTTTTCTCTACTGAATTTTCTGAGTATTTAAATTTGTATTGGGTTATATTTAGGGGCTATATGCCACCAGAATATATTGTTGAAGGTGTTATCTCAGTAAAGAATGATGTCTACGGTTTTGGCGTAACACTGCTTCAGACCATTAGTGGAATGAGCTATTCTGGAAGAGATGCTCGTCATCAAGCTTCCATTGAGTGGGTAAGTAAATAGGCATTTCTTCAGAATTTTTCTTTTACTGTCGAATATATTCTCATACAGTAAATTGTTACGAGTTAAAATCTAACTAAACTTCATCAGATGATAGTAATTCGGAATACGAAAATATCTGGTGCAATTTGTTAACAGCAAAGATACATGTTGCTCGTATAAATTTTGCTTACTAATATTCTTTCACGCCCTAATTAATTCCTAGTATCAATGCACAAAGGATGGTTTATGAATGAAAACCAGGTGACAATTTCTGTAACTAAACTTGTAATGTCGATGTGGTTTTTTGTCTCTCTCCAGGCATGGAACGTACGTCTATCTGGAGGTATACACAAGCTATTCGATCCATCACTGTGTGACGAGTCTCAACTGAAGGAGATCAAAAGATGCATGGAGATTGGACTGCTCTGTACCCAGAACAAACCGTCAGACAGGCCAACAATGCCTGATGTTCTTGAAATGCTACAGGGCAAGAAGAAGGTACCGACCCCCAAGCAACCAGGCTACATCAAAAGAGTACGGGCTGCAGGACGTCACAAACAAGTGTAGGCAGAAACCGTCATGGCGTCTCCAATCACCACGTACTCAATGCTTGGTTTTTGTTTTTAATTTTCAACAATGGAAAACTGTTTTACATCTTGCAAATTAATCTGGATCTGCTTGATTTTGTTACAACATCAAACACTTGGAACTGTGATTTTTGTGAGCTCGGTTATATATATATATGGGCATGATATATAACTGCCTTGGTGCAAACGTACAGTATTATGTTGAAACAAGATCTGCTTCACTATGGTTAGTTTTCTTCTTCGCAAACCATGACCGCAGCACTTGAGTTTCGCGTTCTTGGATGTTTTTCAGTCATCGCAGCGTAACTGGACTGAAAACTCTGAACCAACATATCGAGGTTGCGTAGCCTTCTGAAAAGAAGAGAAAAGAAAGGCTCCGGTATTCTACAGATCACTATGCTAAGAAGCAGGGAGGCATCTGTGTTACATCATTCGGATATTCACTAGCTCAGAGCCATATATGGAAACCAAACTGAGATCCTCCTATCCTATCAAGTTGGCTGGCCTTTGTACCTCTGGAGTTGCAGTGGTGTATTCAAGATATGGCACCCTCCATCCCCTGATGCAGCTCGTTCCTAATGAGAAGGTGTCATGCACGCAGCTATTTAATGTCTTGGAATACCCATCAGCTTAGACATCTGGACTGAAATTGTTGGTGTACGCAACTCATTATGGTACCAGAGCCAGAGGTATTGAGTTTAAATCTCAGCTGACATGCAATTACATAAAAGATGTGCTTCCATGCTTTTAAAAGAAAAAACTGCACGTATATTAAAGAAAATGAGAGACCCAAATTAAAAAGTTAGTTAATAGCCTAAACTTCATTTGTAAAGGGTAATTTCGTCCATGTGGGAGTTAATTAATCTGTGATCCTATCGGTCCGGTTCTCACATCAAAGTCCGCCGGCAAATGTTCCTGCTCGCCACCATCACAATGATGAACGTGTGGCGTCTGGCCGTGGCATTTGCATCGCGCTAAAAATCTTGGCCGTTGAGCACTTCGTTTTTACAAACAAACAAAAAACGAAAGGTGCATACCAAAGCTCAAATTTACAATCATTCTCGTGTACAATCATTCAGCTATTTATTGTTGGCACTGCACCATGATCTTTTTGTCTTGCCAAACCGAGCTAAGTTCTAGATGTCGAAATGTTACATTTTATAGTTCTTACACCATAGTTATATTGTAATTCTTAAATGGGTTAGATTTTGCCATTTCTGTGTTTGGCTTCTTTATTTTGTATTTCTGGCAACATAGTTGTGCTGTTATTCTTGAGGTCCCAAGAATAAAAAAGAAGCAGCTCAATGTAGAACTGCTCCCATCAACTATGAGATCAGATAGATACTGGTACTAAAATAATGAACCACTGCTACAGAACATAAAATAGAATAGGTGCCGGAGTAGGTAAAACTAATACCTACAGCACCTTTCCCACCCACGCGCCCACCCACGCGTCTGTCCAGACACCAAAATCCAAAGAATCGGCACCTTTATCCTCAAATAGAGCACCAACTATTGGTCTCAAAGAAATATGCCGGTTTTTATTAAAAATCCGGCACCTTTTAGGACCCGTCCCATCGGAGTAGTTGGCACGGGGCCTACCCAAGAACAAGCATCTTTGTGGTAAAAGGAATAGGTGCCCTTTTTTTTAAAAAAAAACATACCTATAATATATTATAGGTGCCGGGTTTTTAGAAAACCGACGCACTGTAAAACCGAGCCAAGCCGCACGGGGGAGGGAGATATTTTCAAGCCGTTCTTATGCATCCGGCCCCCACCCCACCCATCTCTCTCTCTCTCTCTCTCTCTCCGTCCTCCTCTTCTCCTCCTCCTTCATCTCTCGCGCACCCTCCCATGGCTCTCTTGCGTACCCAGCGTCAACGGCGGCCCGGTGGTGGACGCAGCGGTGGCGCCTTCCCTCCGCCAGATCCGCCCGGGAGGGGAGGCATCAGTCCAGAGCGAGGTGTGGTGGTGGAGGCGCCCTCCGCCATATCCCGCCGGGAGGGGAGGTGTCAGCCTAGTGCGAGGTGCGGCGGTGCCCTCCGCCAGATCCAGTCAGGAGGAGTCGGCGACGGCCCGGCAGCGCCCTCCCCTATGCTAGATTCGGCGGGAGTGGGGGTGGCGGTGGCAGTGTCTCCCCTCCGCCAGATCTGGTTGGGAGGGGAGGCGGTAGTGCGGCGCAAGGTGCGGCGGCAACCCGGCGGGAGTTGTGTTCTTGCTGTTCATATTGTTCTTCCTGTTGATGTGTGTTCTTGCATGTCTATAAATTAAATTGTTGTATGCAATATGCTTGGGGCGAAGGGGATTTGCTCGATACATTGGCTCAAATCCCTTATAATTTTTTTTCATGTTCTTGGATAGTTTTCAATCTCGGGGTTTGACGAATATGTTCTTAGATGGGGGCTGCTAATGTGGATTTGTTGAATGTGTTTTTGGATGGGGGAGCTGCTGATGTGGGAATACGCTCGATTCGAGCCGATGCATCAAGCCTTTTTTTTCGCTCGCGTAGGCCTCAAAGGTGTCAGTTTTGAAATCAACACCAATCACCCGGAGTCATCAGTCCCACCTCTGTGGTGCCAGTTAGGAAATCTGGCACCTAAGGGTGTTTCCCTACCAGCACCAATAGCCCTTTCTGTAGTAGTGAACACAATAATCATGAACAAAAATCATCAAAAACAAATGTCGTCCTGCCGGATCCACCAAGGGAATGGCGGCCGATGCCGGGTTCACCGTGGGAACGGCCGCCGATGCCGCCTCGTCTACCGCCAACGCCACCAATGCCGTCTCGCACGGAGAGGGCAGCAGAAGGGAAGGGTTGGAAAAGGGGAGAGAAAAAAGACGGGCGAGAGGGGGCGAAGCGAGTGGATAAGCTCCATCTCGCCCCCCCTTTGCGCTAAAAAAAAGGAAAACCCATCTACTGACTTGGCTCGATTTTGAAAGGTGTTGGGTTTTTTTTAGAAAACCAGCATCTAAAATATATTATAGGGGTTGGTTTTAATTAACTGACACCTATAATATATTAAAAGTTATATTTTTATTAAAAATCGTTATCTGTAGTGTACGCGTCGGTTTTTCTTTAAAGCCTGCACCTACATTTGGTGTCAGTTTTTTTATGTTTTCATCCTGCGGAGGTGAGAAAATATCTATAGATGCCGCTTTAGCACTTTCGGCACTACGTGTCTATTCGTAGTAGTAGGGTTATGAGTTACACGACGGCACGTGGTATATGCAAAAGAAGACGAAAACCAAGCAGGACGGCAGAGGGTATTTGGAAACGCACAACTGTCGACGAAACAGATCGACCTCTCACTGTGACGATGTGACGGATGTACACTGGCGTATTTGGAAACACACAACTGTCGTCGACGACGCGACGCCTTCATCACGAGGTAGGGATCTGCATACAATCTGCATGGCTTCTTCCGTAACCCTATTAGGGGCGAAGCCAGAATTTATGGTTAGGGGGGTGTGGGCAGGACGAACAAGTCATAAGTCAGAGTAAACAATACCGATGATAAAACAAGACATCATACGTTCTGCCATAAAAAAGCTTGAATTTAGCTCTTTAGTTGTATCATTGGATGTTTGACAGTTTGAGACTTGAGACACCATGCTCGACAATGAGACACAATGGGAGGACGGAGAGACATGTGAAGCCGAATCAATAAAGACGAGTAGTTGATTTGCATTGTCTCTTTCTTATTGATTAATTTTCTATATCATGTTTATTGATAATGGACTAATTAATATGCTAATACGCTAGTTAATACAGTAGGGAGGGGGTCGGATAGGTTGGCCCCCTCTGGCACCCCCTATAGCTGCGCCCGTGACCCTATATATGCCCTCTCTGTCTTATATAGAATAATTTTATGATACTACTGAGATGTGTTATTTGTTAATTTATTATATTAGTACATCAATTCCGTAAAATTGATACATATCCTTGGGCCAAATATGCATGATTACATACCAAACATGTATAAACAGTGAAGTTCATCAAAAAAATGTTAGTACCTTTTATGATGGATTAATAAAAAAAAAGCGTACCCAAGATTAGGCCAGTAATGTATTTTCAGTTAGTATCGTATGTTAGCTATTAGGAGTAAACTTTCGTTGCGATGGGATGTAATATCCCAATATTAATATTTTTTATATTCCAAAGAGTAAAATTTAAAATGCTATTTTTTTATTGAGATAATCTCTTCGTGTTGTCTATCTGAAAGTGAAGCATTAATTAATCACATAAAAGGAGGAAGTGCCCAAAATAGGAGTTTTGTTGCAGTGTTCTTTTGTGGAATTATGAGGTTTTTACAATTGAAGTTTTCGACCCAAGTTCTCATGCATTTCTTTCAATTGTAAAAACCTCATCACCCCTTTCTGAACAATCATTTTCATAATATTTTAACATATATCTTTATTATTTTTATAATACTTAACATATAGTTATGAATATATTCCGCGTCAAAACGCGCATATCATTTGTTTCCTTCATGATTAGTACAGATAAACCCTGAAATTTCATTATTTTTTCCTTTTTACAAAAATTACTTAGTAATTCCCGCAGCAAAGTGTGGAGAATCACCTAGTTGGAATGATGGTTATACTCCTTAAAAGACTTTTTCCCCTCCCTGTGTAAATAGCACACAGAAATCCTTCCCCATCCTGGGAGATGAAATGTGAAGTTTGTATCACAGATTTCTAATTAATCACTTAAAAAAATATATATGGGGTCGGCTATTAGAGGCATCTGGATTTGTTCGGCAGTTAAGAAGTAAACATAAGTGTCAAAAACATAGACTCTGTTGGTACTTAGAGATGCTTAAAGATTAGTGTTGGCAGATGGAACCAACTTCATGTACATCCTTAATTTCTCTAACTGGGTTAATTTGTCATCTTTTTTGTTGATGAAACTGATAGTTGCCTTGTGCTGTCTTCGTACGAAATAACTTTACTACTTATATGCTATATTTCGACAAACCTATCTTGTGTATATATAACATGTGCATTAAGGGGATTACATGGTTTTGCTAAGTATCAGTTACTAACATTGAATTGGCAGATGTTGGAGGGGGTGGTGGCTACTTTGGTTCAAGCTCGGCTGGTGATGGATGGGGTCGGGGTGACTCCGGTGGAAGCTCATGCGGCAGTGGATGTGGTGGTGGTGGTGATTGATAGGTGGTTAAGATT